TCAACGCACTAAGAAACTGCGATACCTCAAGGCAAACAATTTTGAAAAATACTTGGATATCATCAAGGAACTTGACATCCCTCCTGTTGAAAGTACACAYAGTAAATGGAACAAATACAAATTTAGAAAGTTTAAAATAGGAGTGGAAATCAAGGAAAAGAAAAGTTTCTTAGATAGGAAGATTGTCACATAATAAAAAAAAGATTTCAAAAATTCATCTTGCTTCTTTTCCTAAATAAAAGTCTCCATTCCAACTTCTCATGAGCAACTCTACATCCCATAGACCTAATAGGCTAACGCTATAAGCGTTTCCACCCAGGAGCAAGTTTCATTGTTCATTGTATTTTCATTTCAGAAACAAAAKTTCTTTTTCCCACATGATTTGAATTGGGTGGTAACATATATGGCAATTAACACGTTAGTAAGTTAGGTCTATTGATGGACGAAGTACTGTCAGGGTCCGTGCAGAGTATCAAAAACGAAATTTAAGGACTTTTCCAGGACCAAAATTGTTTTTTAATGGAGCATCAAAATCATGCTAATTGTACATTCTTACCTCAAAACTTCAGCCGAACGGAATAATTCAGAGATCSCTAGCGCTTYGTRAWAGAGATCCATCTTTTTTAAGGAGTTTTCAAGGACTTTTTCGAAATTTTCAAATTTTTAAGAGTTTCAAGTGCCCTTGAAAACGTGTTTTCAATTCAAGCACTTTTCAAGCATGGACCCTGTAGTGTTTACACTTTGTTTGTTTGTAAATATATATTGTAACATGAYCAATAAACCTGCAATACACTACAGTGGTCACAGAAAGAATCAAGAAAGTCACAAATATTTCCTTGTCTTGGTTATTTGGAGTGTGGATTTTGCAAGTTAGATAGCACTCAATWTAAACTATAGTATAGGACTCCTTTCTATTGAAACTGTTTATTTATTATTTACCTTGAAAAATGTTTGGGATCCCTGTGCACAGAAATCCTTTCTACARTATTTTTTACAATGTTTACAGTGAAGTACACCACTTAACCCTTAAAACAAATACAGT